AAATAAAAGGAAAGTATTTTAACGTAGAGAAAAGTCCGTGTATAATTCTATAAAGTTGTTTAGTTTGTTAACCACTTCAAGTTCACATGTTCCTTTATAACTATACTTCATTATGAAAACACATCTAATGCTTTAGTTTGTACTAACCCCTTTAATCAGTAATAAAATAAAAATGACGTCTTGTGAGTTCTCAGTGACCTAGCATATTAAGTTTGAACTTTTACCCTTAAGAAGTTTAGTTGAGGGGCTCAACAGATAGAATCGTGTCTTACTGGAGCCTGGTAAGTATTCATTACTTGCGCTGCTGCGGGAAGGCCTTCGTGAACACGGGATCGAGGCTGGAGCCTCTGTTCCAGTCAGTACAACAGGTGGCGCTGCAGCATTACCGAAGCGGCCTCTATTTCTTCCAAAACGGGCTCTGAAAAAAAAAGATATCTTAATAACGAGGACATATTTATGGTTAGATAATCAGACGAACGCCAATAAGATTGTGTACTACCAGTAAATCTGTTTAGAATTTCTACCCACAAAAATTCTCAGCTTTTGTAGACACTCAGCACTAGCTTTAGTATGTTACGTCCTGATAGTTAATTATATGTTACACTGATATTAGTAATTATATGCTCAATCTGTCAATATTTTAGTTTGATGCAGACATTGGCAGAAGCAGGGATGTAACCTAAAATAAGAAATGAATTATACGTTTAGCGGCCGATTCATTATAAGCAATACTCTAAAGAAAATATCTACAAATTATGTAATACTTATGACAATTATCTATAAACGAGCTAAATTTTTGACCATCAACTTAGAATAACTATGGACAATATACATATACATATACAGCTGGGTGGGTGGATATATAAATTTATAACAAATCACGCGTAAGCGCGTTAAGTGGACATTCTGCGTCACAAACTCGATTTGAAAAGTTACTGGTAGAACGTGGTGAATGATAGCTCAGTGCAGTGGTACTTGTTCGCGTATCATCAGATTTTTTTTATCTCTGGGGACCACAATGGGATCTATACAGTATGCTGTCACTTTCTTAACGTAATTATGCTACCTTTTCCCGGAACCACATGAAGGAAGCCCACGCAACGCTAGTGACCGCGAACCACAGATTGAGAACCGTTGAGGTAGTGGATTATCCAAACTGCAAATTTTCATATCCTCTTCTTTGAGGTGAATTTTGTTTGTTGTTAAGCACAAAGCTACACAATGAGCTACACTGCAGATATCGCGACCCGATTTTTTACAGCGTTATAAACCCCCAGACTTAACACTGAGCCACCGGGAAATCCTTTTAGGAGAATTAATTTGGTTTGATTCTTTTAGCGCAAAACCACACAATAGACTAGTTGCACTCTGTCTACCGTAAACTTACCTTTGACCTACCAGAAAAACCTTAAGGAAAAATATACTAAAAAACTAACCTTTCCTTTGCAATGAAATCACGATCAAATATAATATTTTTTTTTTGCTCGTTTTTTCGACACTAGTCTTTACGTAGTGGAGGAGTGATAATTATGGAATTACGTGTGAGTTAATCAAGTGAACAGAATATATATCTATTATTTAAATAATTATTAACCATTGGAAAATTATTCGATTCGAAGATAATTTTGGGTTATTGAACAACCTTGATAACGGTACTACTATATGCAATGAAAAAGTTATAAGAAATTGTAATTTTCAATACTTTCAATTAAAAGGCAATAGGATAAAGATCTGATTTACCTGCTAAATAATCTGAGCACTAGACAGAAAAGGGCAGTGCCAATCATGACTCCAGAAACCACCATTATCACGGTCATGATGTCAGGGTTTTCCAGAATTCCATCACCTTTACCTAATAAAGTTAAATAAACTAAAGTAAGTGAAATATAATGAAACAAATATAGTTTCAAAATATGATGTCAATTAACCCGATAATTTCTAGTACTTTGTACAATAATAAAATTGAAGTATTTTTTTCCGTAGAGACCTCGAAAGGACCTTATAAATGAGGTTGAATGAGTGTGTTACCTTATAGAAAAGCCACATGGGCTATCTGCTGTGTCCATCGAGGGGAACTGAACCTCTGATTTTAGCGTTGTAAATCCGAAGGCTTATTGCTGTCCCACCGAGGGACTAGAGGTTGAATGAAAATGTGCTGTTTGATTTTGCCATAATTGTACTTTTATCGTCCGATCACATACTTTTTGATTTTGTTTGCAAATGGCCAATTTTAGACTATTGTGGATATCGTAATTTTAGGTTGCAAATTTTTTCATGTTACATGTTTGATAATTTGTAGGAATGACAGGAACATAATAGAAAATTGTTCATTTCTGCAGTTTTATCAAATAATCTTAAAATCTAAGAAATAAAAGCTCATTTTTCCTGTTGTGGTAAAACATTTCTATAGAGTTAAACAAATATCACTTACTTTAAATCAAAACAAGTGGAAAAAAATATTTAAAAAAATTTAAAGTATAGGAATGGGTGCACCAAAAAGTGAGGAAACAAGGTAGGAATGGGCATCAAATAATAAAACTGCCTCTGTACAACCGCACAAGGGGGCGAGTCCAACATCCTGTCCACGCCTTCTTCGTTTATTTTTCTATCTTGTATACTTATTAAACTTAGTTATGCTTATCATACAATGACTAGAGGTTTCTGTGAATCGAATTATTGAAGGTAATAGATGTACTGTAAAGTCTGTTTATACGATACCTGAAGAATCAGATATTCGTGTGAACCCATAACTTGAATGTTTTTTTCTTTCTTTATAACTTGTCCCTCCTTTTGCAATT